ACGGGCGCTGCATGGCGAGCAGGAGCGCGGCTTCGCTAGTGAACACCTGGTGGCAAGGCAGCAGAGGATAATGAACATGTTCCTTGTGCCTACCTGCCTCCTCACGGAATCTCCCTCACCGCAAAAAATGATCTTCCTCCCGCAAGGCCAGGCGATCGAGAAGGCTTTGTTGGTTGGGCAACCTCACGTGAATGTGAGCCTCCATTAGCGGTAATTGGTCATTATTCGGCGCAGGATCGAGCCAGGCACAAGCGGCGGGGGGAGGGGGGTGCGCAGGAGCTCGTGGGGTCCGGGATGATGACCATACTTCCGCCAAGGTCTGTTGCCTTAAGTCAGCCCCATGACGTGGCGCTCTTGGCCTCAATACCTGTTTACTCATCTCCCCTTCCACTTCCCTCTTTCGGTAATCGTTTGTTCCCTGATTCACTCCATTTTCCTTGTCATCTTCGTGAGCACGCCGCCTTTACCAACCTGACCTCTCCCGTAGAGTCTCTTTCATCCTTTTTATCTATTGTTTTTTTTCATCCTATAACCCCCTCCTCATTTTTTCCCTCTCCCGCTCCCTCTTTTTCTTTCTCTCTTCCCCTCCCCCAACCCCCTCCTCCTCCGTTGCTTCCTCCCTATCTATCTCTATCTCCTCTCCCCCTCAGTCTCCTCCTCCTGCCCTCCCCCTCCCCTTCTCTCTTTCTCTCTCTCTCTCCTCCTCCTTCCTTTCCCTATTCCTCTCCTCCCCCTTCCTCTTCCTATCCCTCTCCTCCCCCTTCCTCTTCCTATCCCTCTCCTCCCCCTTCCTCTTCCTATCCCTCTCCTCCCCCTTCCCCTCCCTATCTCTCTTCCCCCCCCTTCCTCTCCCAATCTCTCCTCTCCCCCCTTTCTCTCCCCCTCTCCCCTCCCTCACCCTCTCCGCTCTAACCCCTGTCTCCCTTGCTTCCCGTTCTGCTTCATCTAGGTATTTGTTTTGGCCCGCGCCCCGCCGCTCCAGCGCTACCTGATTTGTATACACCCGCAGACATGCCTCGGTGCTCAGGCCCTTTGTCAACTTAAAAAAAGGTCATCGTTATTGAGTCGGACAAGGAGGGCATTGCATTCAGTTGGTGTTTTGCTGCTCTGTGTAAGACGTCGGGTTACGTTTGGGTCATATTTTGGACGGAAGGGAAAGATAGACATCGGGTTACAGAGTGTAGCTTTACCTTACGCCTCTCTCTCTCTCTCTCTCTCTCTCTCTCCTCCCCTTCCTTTCCCTATTCCTCTCCTCCCCCTTCCTCTCCCAATCTCTCCTCTCCCCCCCTTTCTCTCCCCCTCTCCCCTCCCTCACCCTCTCCGCTCTAGCCCCCTGTCTCCCTTGCTTCCCGTTCTGCTTCATCTAGGTATTTGTTTTGGCCCGCGCCCCGCCGCTCCAGCGCTACCTGATTTGTATACACCCGCAGACATGCCTCGGTGCTCAGGCCCTTTGTCAACTTAAAAAAAGGTCATCGTTATTGAGTCGGACAAGGAGGGCATTGCATTCAGTTGGTGTTTTGCTGCTCTGTGTAAAACGTCGGGTTACGTTTGGGTCATATTTTGGACGGAAGGGAAAGATAGACATCGGGTTACAGAGTGTAGCTTTACCTTACGCCTCTCTCTCTCTCTCTCTCTCTCTCTCTCTTCTCTCTCTCTCTCTTCTCTCTCTCTCTCCTCTCTCTCTCTCTCTCTCTCTCCTCCTCCTTCCTTTCCCTATTCCTCTCCTCCCCCTTCCTCTTCCTATCCCTCTCCTCCCCCTTCCTCTTCCTATCCCTCTCCTCCCCCTTCCTCTTCCTATCCCTCTCCTCCCCCTTCCTCTTCCTATCCCTCTCCTCCCCCTTCCTCTTCCTATCCCTCTCCTCCCCCTTCCTCTCCCAATCTCTCCTCTCCCCCCTTTCTCTCCCCCTCTCCCCTCCTCCTTTCATACTCTCCCCTTCTATTCTCTCCCCCCCTCCTTCCCCCTATCCTCTTCCTTCTTCTCCTTCTTTCTCTTATCTCATCGTCCTCCTCGTCTGGTCTCCCCTTCCTTCCCCACTCCCTCACCTTCCTTCCCCATTCTCTGTCCTCCATCCTTCGCCCCTCCCCCCTCCTTCCCCCTATCCTCTTCCTTCTTCTCCTTCTTTCTCTTATCTCATCGTCCTCCTCGTCTGGTCTCCCCTTCCTTCCCCACTCCCTCACCTTCCTTCCCCATTCTCTGTCCTCCATCCTTCGCCCCTCCCCCCTCCCTCTCCTCCTTCCCCGTCCACAGCATTAGGTCATCCGTGCTTTTAGGAGCCCAGCCCATGTCGCTTCACCACCTGATTGTCCTCTCGCCTCGCTCCTTCGCTTACGCCATAGCCTTCTACGCAGCGCACGCCCACGCCCGCGGGACCCATACAGCGAGGGACGGGGCTGTCGCTGGGGGGTGTTCTTTTCTTTGTGTGTCCGAAATGTACGACTCTTGAATGGCGTCCAAATATCCTGTGCTTTCTGAATTACATGTATTGCTAGAGAATACAGCACAAAAGGAATCCCCGTAGCATCCTGGATCGGAAAGCAGCGAGGGCGGGTCGGGTTTCGAGAGTCCTGGCGAACGAGTGGCGGTTGACGGTGATACATGCCAGGTTGGCGTGATTTGCGGTAGCGGAGTGCGGGCGGGCGGGCGCCAGCCGTCACGGCGCTAGCGGAAGTTACCTCCAGTGGGCGTTAAACCTGGAGCTGCAGCGGGTGAGAACCCCGTGTGTCGTTACTCCCGCTCCCACCTGACACCAGCCCTGCCCTCACCTGTCTCCTTACCTGGACTGATGATCGACTCAGGTGAAGCTCAGAGCGTGTCTCAATGGGAATCGGACGAAGCCTTTTGACCCTAGTTAGGCCAACCGTCGTTCGATCGTCGCTAAGCCTTCGTCCGCAGCCGCTCTGACCCTCACCTGCAGACCGGCATTCCACCGATACCTTGCGAGTGTCCGTGCGTATGCTTGGCTTCCGTTGCGGGTTCCACGATGTAACACGGAATGGATGGCCCGGGATTTCACTTCCTTGCTGTGCGTACTCGGCATTTGTTTGGTAGATAAGCAGGTCTTGCGACTCCGCGCTGAGGCTAAAGACGGAGGAGTTTGTAGTGTAAGAAGGTGACCATAACCGACCAGCTTACCGCGCGGCGCAGGTGGAGATGGTTGCGGCGGCCAGCGACCATGGGAAAATACACGGTGCCGCCCACTCCTGCCTCCTCACTCCCGCACGCCCCCGGAGTATTGTGCGGGCGGGAGTGAGGTCTCAGGCTGTCTTAAGCAGAAATAGAGTTCCTTTGATGATGGTGGTTCATTTGTTAGCAAGTTTCGTGTCTTTGCCTACGTAGCCGGAAGGTTTTTGATTTATCAGGAGTTCAACACATTTAGCGTTGCATAAGAGTGAAGAGAGGCAGCCAGCAAGTAGGCCAAACAAGTGGGAAGGGAAAGTGGGAATAAACAGCATTGCGGAGGTGCCCTGCCACTGCCTGGACACACCGGACGTAGCCGCCGCCATGAGTCACGCCCCCCCCCCCACACCACCCCCAACACACACAATGTACACTCGGAACTTAATGACCAAGAGAAAACACGGCGCCACGTCATGACTACGTACTCGGCGGAGCTCGTACCATGCACACCATGCGGAGATGCGTGGTGCGTCTCCCGAACCACTATCGCAATATAACAATATGATATTACATAATACTGCCAGGGTAGAATCACTACATTAAAAGGGGGAGGGGGGATGGGGGGGGATGTGAGTTTACACAGGAAGGCGCAAGGTGCTTACTCAGCGCTTATTAAATAACAAGAGCATACAGCTGAGACGGATAGACGAGAATGAAAGTGTTGCAAGATGTTTGCAATTGCCGCACCGTTTCTTTGCATGTTGGACGCATCTGTTTGATATTTGAACAAGGTTCTACGTCTGCGAGAACTAGTGTCGCTGGCGTATGCTTAAAACGAGGAATATTTTCTTTGAGCTTAATAATAATAAGGAAAAAAAAAAAACGATATATTTTTTTAAAACTCGGGACCGTATATTTGCCTAAAACTAAGAACTATAATTTCTGCCAACGTCAATTTGTTAGAAGATTTTTTCCAAGTTTAAAGAATGTATCAGGAATGTAAGAATCATTACTTTTTTCGTAAATGCGAGCACATCGTTACGGTCCATTACCTGCGTGGAATGCAGCTTTATGGTTAGGCGAAACAGGTACACGCTCTCATTACCCCTCATGAACAACCTGTGGGAAGGTAGTGCCGGACCCTCCCGCCTTTCCTCACACCCACATGGTCCTCTGTTTTCCCTCATTTCACGTGTTTCCGAAACCCCGATTTCACAGTTTACATCCTTGTGGGAAATATCGGACCTGCGGCAATGTTCACACGGAGTCCGGGGCGCGTTGTCGGCGAGATGAACGCCGTCTTGGGCCGCACCTGGGACCCCCGAGGACCAAGTGGCATTGTCCTCGCGTTGGAGGCTTATTAATTGTCGGCGAGGCCAGGCGGAGGGCGAGCCGAATCCAGGCCTCCCCGACAACGCGCATTAACGAGGTACAAATGTGGCCAACGGTACAGATTTGCCGGCGCGGCGCTGACAAACGACCGGGTCTTGCGCGTATTGTTACCTTACACGTGGGCGGAGGGGGGGAAACGCGGGGACAAACTGCGTGGGTGGACGCAAAGGCGGTTGATGAAGAGGTGCGGATTGTGTGCGCCGGGAGGGAATGGACCCCTGGATGAACTTGGATGAACTGCGATTTGGAAGGGGAATGCAGAGGAGGAGGGCAGGTTGGCGGAGACTTCAATCGTCGGTCGGCATTAATGGCGGGGGACGTGCATCGTTAGCTTTCCATCATCATTTGTGTTGTATTTGATTTTCGGGGTTGGGTCTTGTTGAATATTAACCAGGCGAATTATTATGTTGAGGAATGGGGTTAAGAATTGTGTTTATTTTATGTTTGGTTATCAGAAGAGTGATTAATATTTTTCTTTTTGTTTTTCCAGGGTCAGCTTGAGTTGGAGAGCGACACAGCGTTCCGACTAGCGGCTCTCGCTCTGCAGGCAACGTACGGCGACTTCACCCAGTAAGTTGACACTCCAGAGGTTGTACTCGGGCTAAAGGTCGAGGTTGGCGCTTGTCTCACGACGCCCTTCCAGCTCACGAGGGGTTTTGGGTGTGTAATGGTGGGAGGGAATTCTACAACAGAAAATTACGAGTTTTTATTTTTTATCTTTAAGATTTACGAGGAGTAATGAGAAAGAATTTGTGTTTTTTTTTGCCTTTTTTTTATATTTATGTGTGGTAATCACGACCAGCATGTAATTATTGGCTCAGAATGAAGTGAGATGTATGAGTAAAGCTTAGTCGTCACAGAGCTAGTGTGTAAGTGGCTACCTAGTAAGAGTCCCCTTCTGTTGTCTTGCAGTGAGACGTCGACACACTCGCACTTGAAGAAGGCCCAGGTGCTTCCCGCCAGTGTAATCCGCGACCACCCGTCACTACAGTATTGGTATGTATTCGGTGCCTGATTGCTTGGGGGAAATAGTTCCATTATATCCCAAGCATTGGATAAATATTCGTAATGAACCCCTAGAATGCAAGATCGGGAGCGGGGAAAGAGCCAATTGGGCTTGCAATACCAGGGGAGAGAAGCTGCAACTCCGAAAGACTCATTGTTCACAAGAACTTGTTCTGCGGTTCTGGTCTCGTTCAATCTGCATCGTGTTCGCCTTCCCTGGCAGCCTGCGTAACCCTTCACAATAGGCGAGGGTGCAGCTTTATCGTTTACATGTGTACAAGCTACCTGTTCTACACACATTAATATACATGTGCTTTACGGCTGTCACCCTTGGCTTGGTTGTGCCCCCCCCCCTCTCTCTCTCTCTCTCTCTCTCTCTCTCTCTCTCTCCCTCCCTCCCTCCCTCTTCCTCTCTCTCCCGTTTGTCTCTTTCTCTCTTTCCCCAAAGCGGCCGTTTGCGTCCGCTCGCTCGCTCGCTCTTTCCTCCAGCATTGTTATGCCGAATGTCCTTTATTATATTATGCAACGTTTACCATAGTGTTAACGTGGGACACTCAGCTAACCCAAAACGAACCATTTGGGCCACTTTATGATGCTGGGGAAACATAATCAGTTATTTATGTTCCTCTTTTTATATTATTTGCCTACGCTTATTTCCCTCCTACAAAGGGTTTTTGGGCCATAAAGCAGGAGGCATTATGGGCACGGCGCGAGGGGCGTCGGGCTCTGCGCCGCCCGATAGCCTCGGATTAGCATGTTTTCTTTTTTGGGGTTTCTTTTATTTCTCTCTCTCTCTCTCTCTCTCTCTCTCTCTCTCTCTCTCTCTCTCTCTCTCTCTCTCTCTCTCTCTCTCTCTCTCTCTCGTTCTCTCGTTCTCTCGTTCTCTCGTTCTCTCGTTCTCTCTCCCTCCTCCCTCCTCCCCTGTCCCCTTGCCGCAAACTGTGGGCTTGTAGGCTGTGTTGTGCTATTGTGTTGATCGTTTTGTTTTGGTCTTTTTTTAAGTTTCATGTTAAAAATGCGTCTCTCTCTCTCTCTCTCTCTCTCTCTCTCTCTCTCTCTCTCTCTCTCTCTCTCTCTCTCTCTCTCTGTATGTGCATATTATATATACAATAATCGTCCTTCCCGTCCCTTTCATTCCTTGGTCCCCGCATAGTACGCTTCTGCATGCGTGCGCGCGCATTTACCGTGGGAAACTGCGTGTCCGGGGCTTGGGGTCTTCGGGCGCCATCGCTCACCGGGCGCGGATTGGGGCGGGGGTGAGGCCGTGATTGGGGCTGATTGGGGACCGGGTTGGGGAGGTCAGAAGGGGTGCGGGGGTCATTTGGGGAAGGTGATAGTCATGTTAATGATGTGGTGATTAGGAGATTAGGTTGGAGGTCGGTCGGGTTTTATTACTTTCAAGGGTGGGGGAGGGGGGCGATTTGGGGGGTACCTCGTGTTAAGGTTGGTATTGTCTGAGGCTGAGGTTGGATTAATGCCGTTTCTTTCTGGATTAGCAAGGTCGTAGGAGCTGTGATTTGTGGATTATATTCATATCCGAGCTTGATTTGTTTTTAGAAATGTCAGCGTCGTGTTGTACTCAGTGATATAACAGGTATTTCGACATTTTGCGTTTTGTGAAAGTCTGCATTCATGTGTGTGTGGGCGTCGAGATGGCCAGAGCGAGGGCCGAGTCGTGGGCGTGGCGGGTCCATCTCGGCGGGCGCTGGCGTGGTCAAACTAAGCCGAAAATTGCGTGGGAAGCGGCCCCTCGGACGGGACGGCGGCGGGGCAGCGGCCGGCGTAATTTCACCCCGCTCGAATTCACGGATTTTTAGGGGCTTCGGCTGGCGTGGGCTTTGTGCGGGACGGACATTTTTAGCCCTGATGAATGTAGGGGTGACGGGGTAGGCAGGGGGTGGGCACGGGCATGAAGAGGAGTCCTGGGGTAAACCGCAGGAAAATGGAGCAGGGGAAGGCAGAGCAAACATGCCTGGCTGAGTTACGAGCTGAAGACCTGAGGTTGAGCCAGGCTTTAATTCCTGAGGCGAACCACGCGCGGGAAGAAGTCGTGGGCGAATGGAAGATTTCCCCCCCCCACCCCCTCTCTCTCTCGCATTTTCACACGGAGTTGCGAAAAACACATTTTTGCCTTTGATGCCATTTTCTTTTTTATCCCAGCGTTGAGAAAAATCATTCTCCCGCCCCCTCTCCCCCTCCCCCTCTCCGCCCCCCGCCGCCACGATACCACATACAACAAACACACTTCCACAGACACACACACTTCCTCTGTCTCTGCTATCGCCTAATCTTCGGGATACATTCCTCCTTGCCACTGCCTTATTCTCCTGTCCACTTGAGATAGCCATCATCACCTGCCCCGTTCCTTATCTTCGCTTGCCCAAACATTATCTCACCTCTGCTTTCACCTTTCCTTTTTCCCATCGACCCCCTGCCTTTCTCTTCTTGCTTCTCTCTTTCTCTTTTCTCTTCTCTTATTCTTTCTTCTTTCTCTCTCTCTCTCTCTCTCTCTCTCTCTCTCTCTCTCTCTCTCTCTCTCTCTCTCTCTCTCTCTCTCTCTCTCTCTCTCTCTCTCTCTCTCTCTCTCTTTCTTTCCCCCTCCTTCCTCTTGGAACCTTTCCAGTTTGTTATTTTCCTTGTTATTTTTCAGTTATTTTTAATCGGAAATCTTTCTGCTATAGTTATCAGCAATATATTATTCCCTCGGAAGTTTAGTTTCTCTCTCTTCTTCGTCGTGATCCTTATCCTCTCCCTCCTCCTCTCCCTTCTTTCTCTTCGTCCCTTCCTGTTATTCATGACTCGCAGCGGGAGTCGAATTTGATATTGAATTTCATGATTTTTAAGCAGCTGTATATTTCAATGTGCCCAGAGGGGAGGGGGTGTAGTGGGAAGAGGAGGGGGAAGACGGAAGGGGAGGGGGAAGTGGGCAAGAGGGAAGGGGAAGAGGGAGGGGACAAGAGGAAAGAGGGAAGGGGAGTGGGCAAGAGGGAAGGGGAAGAGGGAGGGGGCAAGAGGGGAGGGGAGGGGAGGGGACAAGAGGAAAGAGGGAAGGGGAGTGGGCAAGAGGGAAGGGGAAGAGGGAGGGGACAAGAGGAAAGAGGGAAGGGGAGTGGGCAAGAGAGAAGGGGAAGAGGGAGGGGACGTTGCTATGGGAATGGGAGGGGAGAGGGGAATGGGCAATGCTGTGGGAAGGGATATTTTTTATATAAATCAGATATTATTAATGTCCTCTCGTACCCTCTGTGCTCACAACCTGCCCTGGATTTAGAGGGTTAAAGGAAAAAAAAATTATAATATAAAAATAAAAAGGGATGCTGATAAAAAGGTCTTCCTCCGAAAGAAAGGGAAAAAGGAAAACGAGGATAAAAAAAACGTTTGCCTCTCTGTACCCAACGCCATCTTTTGATCTGTGACCGAAGCGTGGTTACCCTTTCGCTTGTATGTGACAAGATTTACGGCAGATTTCGACTGCATTGTTACCAGAAGCACCTCCGCATTAGAGTTTTTTTTCTTTTTTTTTTTGCTCACGTAAGGGGAGTTCGGAACGTGAACACGAGGAGGCGCTCACCGCAATTGTTCTCTGGGCGCGACGGTCGCTCGGCCAGGCGGCGGCGCCCAGGGGTGGTTTGTCCACGTAATGACCACCTCAGGACAGAAGAAAAAAGTCCCCGACATTCTCTCTGACCAATTTGTCTTAATGACCACAAAGATCAGATACTTGCTCCGATTAAGTACCCCGCTTTTGTCGAGCCGAAAGAGGAGTTGGCGGTCATTGAATTGCGATGTTTTTTTTCTGCGTGTGTGTGTGTGACCGAAGTTTGGTTTGGACAGATGCATTCTTTCGATTCCCAGGCAGAGGCAAGAGCTCTCCGAGCATTAGGGAAAAAAAACGTGTGCGGTAAAATGCAATACCGAATGTAACATTGTTTGTACCAGTGTCACACGTAAGCGTTTGCTTAGCATAGCGCAGATAAGTGTCGAGCGTGGCCTCTTTGTATTATCTAAGATATTTGTGTAATTTCCTCTGGAGTCTGTCCTTACTTGTCCTTTCTATCGCGATCGGAATTGCCCTCCTGTTAAGAGGCGAAATCCACCGTTTACAAAGCCGAGATCCGCGCGTTTTCATAGAATCGTTACGCCTTGTGATAACACATTACAACTGTTCTTTTTCTTCCCCTCCTTTTACAAGGGCTTTTTCTCCCCCTCCGTTTCGAAGGGCGAGGGTGAACGGCAAGCATTGTGCCTTGCGACTGGAGGGTCTCTCGGGGGAAGGGACCACGGGGACTCCGCGAAAGACAGAGGCGGTGCACTACTAAACATTACATGACTTGTGGAACAGAACTGGCGTTGCGGTTGCACGAGAATGGCACATTGCACGACGTCTGTTATGGACACAAGATACACTAAAGGTATAAAAGTCCCACGAAGTTGGACCGCATCGAGCTAACGGCTCTGGCCATTAGTGAAGCGCAGGAATGCAATAACTCGGGTTTAGTGTAGCAGTTACTATTTTTCGTATTATAAAAATGTATCGTAAATGCACTTACGTACACATTCCTGTTTACTCAAGGTCAGGAGCACGCATGTATGCAAGGACTCATTCACTCATACACACACACACACACACACACACACACACACACACACTCACACACACACACACACACACACACACACACACACACACACACACACACACACACACACACACACACACACACACACACACACACACAATGTGTAATTCTATGTGTACCCCATTGTGTGGAGAGCGACGCGGGCCGTTGTGCCGATGTTTCCCTCGTGTGTACACGTTTAAAGTGTGATTATGTTTTGAGTGGAGGGAGTCCCCCTTCCCTCCCCTTCCCCCTGTTGGCAGAGAGACCTCATTAGTACCTGTCCACCCTTGAGCCCAGCTGTGGCCTCCCGCACTCGGCATTCCAGCTTGGAATATATGTTAATAGATTTTATTATTATTATTATTATACATATTTTTTTTTACAACGGAAATATTTTAAACCGGGTTTGTGTATGCGCCGTTACAGTTCTGTATTAAAATGCATGAGGACCCCCGTATTACAATGTAAAAAAGTTTGTTTGATTTGTGATGAAGGGACGACGTCGGGAGTAGGGGTAAAGGTTTTGTTCTCGTATATGGTGTGTGGAACTATGGAGGTTTTGCTTCTGATCTGTGTATTTTTACATGTATTTACAGCTGTTTAGAACGTTCCTTGTCTACCTAATAGCCGTATGATCATTTACAGATGTAAGGATAGGAATAGGAATGAATATTTTATTACTGGTTATTTAATTATTTTCATTATATTAGACCAAGTTGACCTTGTACGGAGATGACCATAAAATGCCAACTCTTTTATAACCCTTCTGCCTGTGTTCGGTCTGATATATATTTCAATTATTATTTTTTTCTGTTACAGTGAAGAGCGGGTAGCAGAGGAACACAAACAACTAATTGGGCACACTCGCGGCCACGCTATCTTACAGTAAGTATAGTTATGTGTATACGTGTTTTTTGTGTGTATGTGTGTGCATGCGTGTCTACAAGATTTGCGAATTTTATCAGTTAGTGCATTATAACCCAAATCCATCTTCAATTGAACATCGAGTTGTTCCAAACATAATTACAAGTAATTCTGTGTCGCTTACGCGAATGTCGGTCAACATTTTAAATCAAAAGCTCAACACCAGCAACGGGCGTTTTCAATCTCCACTTTGTCTCTCACGCCCCGCCATCGTGGCCGCGTCGACGCATTGAATCGCAGGCAGAAGTAGAGTTGCGGCGCAGCGTCTTGCGTGGGAGGCGATCAGAGCGTCGTCTTTGTTGAGAGGGGCGCGGGCGGACGGGCGGGTCTGACCTTGGCCAGCCTGGTCAGCCGTCAGCAGCATCAGTGTCGTAGTCGTGATGGGCCAGGGGAAGGGGTCGTTACACCCACGGGGAATTTCGGCGACTTTCCAGACCAACGCTGAAACGAAGTCGCGCCTGGCGGCATCGTGACCGCCATATTGTTGGGCGTATGGGCGGACATCCTTGAAGTCAGGTTGTACAAACGCGGGCAGTCACGTTGCGGCGGAGATGGATCGTGCGAGGCTCCAAAGAACGCCGTTTGTCTTGCACTGATGTTATCTCCGAACCCCGTAACCGAAGCGCTGGCGGGAATCGATTGCGAGAGGACCGAGGCTGGAGAACCACCCCGGCGTGACGAGGAGGCGGGGGGAGGGGGCAGAAGGGACCGGAGACTTTGATGCTCTATTAGCAAATGAGCTGCCGGGCGTTCCTCTAGCATGACGATTGGCCGAACATGTTGAACATGTTTCGAACCTTTTAGTACTAGTGCCTCAAAATCATTAAGCGAAACGGCGAATACTGAATGCGTTTTAGGACCGTTTTCCCTCCCTATAATGCTTTAATCGAGTATCTGGCTTTTTTTTTAAGTAGGGGAGGGGGGGGGAAAGTGAGTCATAAGCATCGTGTCTCAAGAATTTCAGAACTATTCAACCGGTTCTTGTGCGGGATCATGTGTCGATGTCCTCAGAGGTTAAAGGTGACCTCGGGTTGCCTCCCACATTTGCATGCTCATTTAATGACAGAATGTATTGGTTGTTTTATCAATTCACAGCCACTTGTCTATGCGAAAGACACAATAATAGAGCTGGTGATATTTTTCACATTTGGTATTGGATGTTTCATGCGTTTTTTTCTGCATTTCCGCTCCGTCCATTCTAAATGTTTTATAAATTCAACTATTAACAAAATAAGTTACGACTTCTCCCAAAATACTCGAAAGCAAAACCCTAAACTTTATGAGTAAACAAAATCTTTACTTCCAGGTATATGAGTGTGGTAGAGCGGGTACCCACGTATGGCGTGCATTACTACGAGGTGAGGGATAGGTCCAACTTACCGTGGTATCTTGGTATCAGCTACCGTGGCATTGCTCAGTACGACTACCTCGACAAGAGAAAACCTCGACGCGTCTTCCTGTGGAAACAGCTTGAGAATCTCTACTTTCGGGAGAGAAAATTCTCGATAGAAGTACATGATCCAAAGAGGTAAGGCAATCCCAGCGAAGGCTCTCCAGGACTAGAAACCATTTAGAATACAGGTAGTTCTGGCAAGGTGGTTTGTATTAGTTGCCATGATCTACTAACATATTTTCAACAATATTCTCCTATTTCCTTCATTTTAAAAAGATCCTTATGTGCTGCTTTGCGAGGCTATTTGGCAGCCTGGGTTTGTCCAGTTACTGCAGGACAATTGATGCTTGTATGTGTGCTGACCAGCTTACTAGGCAGCTACTGTGCCCTTCCCTCCCTTACTGTAGTTAACTTTGGGAATATCTGAAGTTAAAAGATATAGTCAATGAAAGCCCACAGTATACACAATCAGTTTTTTTTAAGGCAGCTTTAGAATGAAACAGGTGTTTGTATTGTGGGTAGTCATGAAAGAAGACTAATCTATTGACAGGAAGTCGGAAATAACCCTTTCAATTCCTGCAACTTTCCCTCTTACATGGTTTTGTATGTGAAAAAAGGAAAAATCTGTGGATGTTCTTGTAATTGGCCTTTGTAAAAAGTGCTGCAAATCTTCTTAAAACACACACACATTTTCTCTCTCTCTCTCACACACACACACACACACACACACACACACACACACACACACACACACACACACACACACACACACACACACACACACACACACACACACACACACACACACACACACACACATATTCATGTATACACTTGTCTTCTGCTTACACTAATATTACTAATGATAGTAGTTCACCAAAATTAGGGATACAGCTGTAACTTTTTTTCTCATAGTAACAGCATAGAGTATTGACTTTTGATCTGATAGGCATTTATCAGTTTACTAAAGGAAATAATTATGATTAGTTACTTTCTGGATATCCCCCAAAACCAGATGTACATAATTTATATTCATGCTCACATAGTCAGTAATTTAAGGCACTAGTTAAGTCAGGCAGTTGGCAAGAGAAAATACCCATTTAAAGTTTAAAATATCCTTAAAACCATTTTCCAACCACTCCTTTGTCCTTAGTCTAAGTAGTATTTAAGTTTGCAGCATAATTTTTAGCCTTGTATGTGAATGTTATAACAGAAGCTTTAGCATTAATATTTGGCTGTATAAAATCTTATTGGTTTACACAAGCTGCCCTTAACCGTTGTAAATCAGCCGCAGCTTGACCTAAAATTATTATGTCACCTTAAATCCACTATGATGGAGTGGAGTTTCTAACAGCCCTCCCTAGCATCACCAGCTAGGAGTGGGCGAGTTAGTATGTGTGGCCTTGTTGTTGGCATGACAGTGTGATGCATGATGTCTTGTTTGGTTTAGAGTGGTGCACACCCTGAGCTCCTTTAACCTGTACGAGGATGCCATCGAAGACTCCAGGGACAACCACGATGACCTGCTAGCGGCCATCACCGAAGCAACCACACAGTAAGTTCCATCCTTTAGTTATGAGCTTTGGCTTATTTTCCTCACAGTGTAGAAGGTATGGAGATAAGGGTGAAGTTCGGAGACATGCTGTGGTAACTAGCATGGAATTAAGTGTGTCATTGATTATATGTCATTACACCTCAAGAATAATTTTTTTACTCTTAGATTTGGAACAGATATTTTAGGATTAGTATGTTCCAGAATATAAAAATGACCAATGAGTATTGTTCAAGAATGGTAATTCTTTAATGTTATTTCCATTACAGAGTATCTGTGTCAAGAAGAACATTTGGACCTGGCAACGTTAGTGTTTACGTTTGGTTCGCAGAGACTCAGGCGCTCTGCAAAGCAATCTGGTCGATGGCGATCGCACAGCATCAGTTCTACCTTGACTGCAAAACCTCAAGAGTAAGCTTGGTTCTTCCATCCATTACTTTTTCAGTTAAAAAGCTTGCATCTACATATAAGTTTTAAATTACCTAAATCTGTTTACGAATAAAATCAAATTCATGATATATGATCTACATCTTTACATCACTTTACAAAATATTCCTTTTTCAGAATGAGGTGAGTGGGGTTCGGGAATTTCCCGAACTGGCAGTTGAGCTTTCACGCAGTTGCGTTTCGCTCTCAACCCATTCCTCCTCGTCAAATCTATCAAGATCTGGCTCCCATTCATCACTGGTTAACAACTCTCTAGCAGGTATGTCATTAACCTCTTACACATTTGCTTATAAAAAAAAGTCTTTGGAAAAGCATCAAATCTTATAAGAAACAAGAATGATTATAACAAATTCATTTTATATTTTAAGAGAAAAAAATATATAATCTGGTCTGTTTGAAATGTTCTTATGCCTGGACAGGCCTATGTAAAGCAATTCTACATAAATTACCCCCAAAACAGTAAAATCTGATGCATGAGTAGTACATCACATATCTTCAGTTTCTGAGATTGTGCTAACTGTTCATTACTTTTACAGAGGACAGTGCAAGCACAGAGAGTCTACATCAGGCAAGGATGGAGATGCACAGTGCCTTGAAAGAACGTCGCGATGCCCTTCAAGAAAAGTTGAAGGAAAAGACAGAAGAATTGAGACTCCTTTGTTTAAGGGAAGGGGAATTGACAGGGGAGTTGCCTCCTGAATATCCAATAACTCCTGGCCAACCACCACCAACTGTACGCAAAAGAGTTGGCACATCATTTACACTCAGTGAAAATCTCATAAATAAGATTATTAACAAACAGGTAAAGGTTCAAATATATTTTGGTCTTCAATTTTCTAGTTCAACCGACATGGAAAAAATATAGCACATAATGTTTTCTAGATAGCTACAAAATATAGCACATAATGTTTTCTAGATACCTATAAAAGTTAATGTAGCTTTAAAGAATTAATATTTTGCTGATCAAATCTCTGATATTTTGTCATAGTCTTTGCACACATTTTTCATACATGAATTTAATATCTTTATGAAGTAAGAAAATAACCACCAAATTGTCTTTTTCAGGAGGAGACTGTAGCTGCTTTAGAACTTGAATATGAAATTCAGGGAAAAATAACTAGTGCTGCCCTAAGATTAGCAAACGAAACCTCAGCAAGAAAAGGAGTCAGAAAGCAGCGAAAGCTCTCCTACCAACAGTCTGCCCAGAGATTAAAAGACCTTGAACAGAAGCTAAAAGCAGCAAGGGCCAAACAGACAGCAACAGCTAACAGTATGCCAAAGCAAAAGAAGAAGCCTCGTCCTGTATCAGACAGTGAAGGTATGGAAGTCTGTCTCTCTTACAATCAGAAAGTTGTGTGATACAAAGAATCAGTAACTATTATCTACAAATATCTGGTAGTATCATGAATTGATATCAACAAATACCTAGTAGGACCAATAACTAGGATTTATAGATGTTTAGTAGTATTTACAATATTACGGTACAAAAAAAAGATACTTATTTATGATATCATATTTTAATATTGTCCCAAAATTTTCAGGTGTGGGTGGATACGATGAAAATACGAATCCGAATAACACGACGGTAAGCAGCAGTCAAGAATCGCCTCGAGATCATTTACGAGACTCCCACCGAGAATCAACCATAACTGAGGGTGTCAGTCTGTCTCCAGCACTGTCCCCTCACCCTCCAGTCTCCCCAAGGTCACCCTTACCACCCTCTACCCCAGTTAGAGCAAGGGCACGGAGGGACCTCTCACCAGGGGGTCACAGTATATCATCTGGAGGTGTCCACTCTGCTCCAACCAGTCCTCACAAACAGCCAAATGCAAGCTCAAGATCAGCTAGTCCCAACAGACCTCATAGGTATGTGTCGAGGTGAAATGGTAGCCATGCTAAAAGAGTAAAGATACTTTTCATGGATAAAAAAGTGATCACATTGTTCATGTTTCTAGAAGTAATGGAAAATTATTAAAACAAATAATGGAAAAGCAATATTCTTGTTACTGAGAGATACTGTTCTACTTTCAGTGGATACATCCCTAGTTCTGTGTACACTAGAAGTCAGTACCGCAGTCAGCAGTACCCGACCCTCTCCACGCGCTCCCAGTCAGTCCCGGCGGATGAGGGTCGGGTGCCACACCCAAGGACCACCAACGGAGCTTATCCCGTGCCCGATCCAGGCATTGTTCTTGCTGAAACACCCGGAGGTCTCTACAACATACCCCAACAACGCACTTCCCTTGCTTGTCATAGTCTGGATGACCTGGGAACCCCAACCCATATCAGCAATAATAATAATAATAATAATACACCCCAACAGTCCCACCATAACCACCACCACCAACCCTACAGACCGAGAAATGACTCCCAGGATAGGTGCGGATGATACATTGTTCTCTTTATGTAGCATGAAAGTTTTGTTATATATGTTGTACTTCCTTTAGACAAAGCAGACCATTCCTTGCATATCACTATATGTCTTTGTTTTTACATAACGCATGAAAGTTTCTCATAAGTGTCTTTATTATTAGACTATATTTAGATGTTTTAATTTTGCCAATTTTATAATATATTTTCTTACTTATGTTTGGCATCTATGAACTTTTGAAAGTTGTTAATTATTTTAATATTTTTTCAAATATTTTTAAATTTTACAATTATTTCCAAGAAATCTTGTGTCATTGTGTTTGCATATTGACATAGACCAAAGAATTACTAAGGTCTTTAATGAAGCTTCAGTAATAATAGTCAAATTATCCCAGGAAATAAAATCCTGTATAAAAATGACAATGTATGTGATATTCTACAAAATATTTTATAAAAAAGAATATAATAAAATATAAAGACAGATCTTAACAATGGAGGATTGTTTTTACCATGCCATTTCAGTCCTAAATTCAAAATATATAAATCTTTGTTTACAGAAGTAGCAAATGAACATTAAGCTTGCATGTTGAATTTTAATGCTTATCAGTAAAGATGCTTTATAACAAAGGCACAGGATTTCTTCATATTTGGTAGATTGAATAAATTTTATTTTACATTTTTAAATATATCCTGGTGATGCCCCAAAAAAGTTTAAGAGTTAATCTTGAATTTAAAGCAATTCTTTTTTGGGACTAATCTAGAGATAGCGCATGATGGTTGTTTCTAAATCATCAGAACTCCTGCACAGCCGTTGCTTTAGTAGTTTATCAGAGTTGGCAGCTTTTATTGTTTCAGAGGGATGAACAGAATCAAAGAATTTGACTTCATCTCCTTGACGTAACAAAGAACATGTTGTCAAGTTCTTTGGTTTGTTCACATTCTGCCCTTCCATACTAATGAAAGTGTCAAACTGGTATCTACATAAAGCAAAGCTTTCCATGTGGTTATGTATTTAGTTCAGCTATTGCGCACTTCACCCTGCATGACCAAAGGTCCACTCCTCAGGTACGGCAGTTTGGACCGACGGCGCGCCAACAACGGGCGGCTGGAGTCACGCAGCATGGAACACCTCGATTCTCTGCCCTCCCCCAGTATTCCCCAGCAGTCTTCCCAACATACCTCACACCACAATCACCAACACACACTGTCACCAAATCTCTTACATCCCAGCCATGCAGCGTCCTACCCACACCACCCACACTACCACAATCACCAATTCCAATTGCCAGAACACCACCAGGAAGCCATGGACACTACCAGCGATTCCCATCCTAACACAGCAAACTGTAGCTTTGACACCATCTCAAGTGAACGATCAGGAGGAGGTGGAGGAGGAGGAGGAGATGATGATGCAGTGGACGGAGCAGCCCTCTATAGAACCCAAGGAGGACTCCAAGGAAGCTCCCAAAATTACCGCCACCGTAGTCAGAGTGGTCCTGGCATGCCTGCACCATCTTCTCAGCTCCATCGTGGGACAGGTCATGGTGCCGTTCAGAGGTCTCAGAGTGGCACAGTTCACAGACTGGTAAGGACTTCTAGTGGAAGAAGTTACATGGAAACTACATTTGTTTCAGAGCCAAATCACAATCAAGAAAATATTCCTCCACTTCGTCCATCCTCAGAGTTGTTGCCTTTGCGACCAACAAGTAGCATGCACCATGATGGTCACCCTCCCCTTCGACCCACCACTACCTCCAACACTGGAGAGATCTTACCTTTGAGACCTACTGTATCAGATCTCCCCCCATTAAGAGCCACCAAATCCAGCAGTGAACTACCTCCTCTTAGAGCAACATGCCCAAAGATGGAGCCTCCCTGCAGTCACAACTCCTCCATGAACACATCAATGTCATCAATGGCTGAAGAACCATTAATGTCACTTGCAGAAGCTGCTAGAATGAAAAAAGAAAGAGGAAAAGAGTGGTATGAGACCTCTCTAGATTCTCCAGCTTCTAGTAGAAGGGCAAAAAAGAGCATGAGCATGATGGAGATGAATGATTCTTGCCAGAGTAATGGTACTGTCAATGCAAGCCAATCTAATTTAAATGTGAGTGGTAGTAGCGTTGGCAGTACAGGAAGTAGTAATGGAAGTGTATTCCCATCCCGTTCGGATTCTGCAGACACTTCCCAAACATCTGTTCCATATGATTCACCACGCAATCATATGATAATCTCGGCAGGCTCCTTCCAGCCTTCTCGTGAAGTCACAAAACCATTTGAAATGTCTGATTTTTACAAGTATAGTACAAAGTATAGGCGTCAAAGTTCCAGTAATTTAGTAGGCATGAACAGTAGCAGTACAGGAACAACAAGCGGCTCTGTTAGTAGTGTGAGTAGTGGAGGGGACACCCCACTCTCTCCAGTCCTGCCTCCAAGAGCTCAAGTGCTTGTAAGTAACAGTAAACTGCTTCCTCCATCACCTAATTTAGTTGCTCATCACTCATCTCCCGCACCACAGCAAAAGGGTGTATACCAACCACTTACACCACTTACTTGCCAGCCTCTTGGAGTAATGAAAGGGTCTCCAGCTCCTGGTGAACCAGAGGATCCTGTTGGTGGTGCATGGGAAGCTACGCCTTTACATCAAGCTGTTCCTGCAACAGTAACAAACAAAAGGTCTGCCACATTGGTTTGATAGTGTGTAATACCTCCAAAATCGTTATACAGTCTGCAGTAATAACTGAAGGCTTATGGGAAGAGGCTTATCAACTCATTAATTCCTCAATGGTGCTTCATTCACACATCCTAAAATTGTAAATATATATATATATATATGTATAAAAACTGTATACAAGATGATATATATATACAATACGATCACAAAGACAGACATCTTCACTCATATATTCCAAAGACAAAGGCATGCTTCTCACTTTTTTTATTAGTACTTTTTATGTTTTATTTTGATCTCATTATTGTTGTGCAAACATGCTAAATGTTATAAACTATTTCTTATGTTCAACAAAAGCAATTATATTATGCCTGTTAATGTTTGACAAGGGATAGTGCAGTTCCCTTTTTACAGTTTTAGATCAGCATGAACTTTCATGTGGAACTTTGATTCTGACTTTGAATAGTTGCATATTAGTTTACCAGAGACTGGAGATTGTTAATGGAAGGGAACGTGATTTTAAAAACAAAATTTTAGGATATGGAAAAGGTAGAATAGGAAATCTTAACCTTCAACTGTGATAATTTTTTTTATTTATTTTTTTTTGTATTATATATGAAAGGAGTTATTTCATATTGTGACTGTTACAGATAATATACTTGAAGTAAGCTGGAAGTGTTTATCATTCCAGTTGTGTTTATGGAGAGCCATGCTGCATTAACTTTGATAATGTCATCAATTTTTGTACCTGAACTACTGATTGAACAAAATACATTTAATATCAGTTATGTGAAAAATGCATTTAACACCAAAGGTATGTATATTGATATCTGTGAAAGATTTATCTGCAGCATTTGGCCCTCAGATCTTTTCTTCAGTTCCCAATCAGAGAAAAAAATCAATATCAGCACTTTTTGGTGGCTTGTTGAGAGAGGTTACAAGTGGTCTTCATAGGGAAGTGGTACATGTATGACTAATGAAAAAAGTAATGTCAACATGAAGGGATGTGGGTATGTATCCACTTGGAGTCTTTGCAGGATTGATGTAGATGGGTAAATTCACAGTGCTACGTTTTTTTTTTTTTAACTGAAGTTTTATATCTTAGCACATTTACTTGTTTTGAGAAGAGGTTGATAATGAGTCACATATTTTAAGATGGGAAACTATTTTCCTGGTTCAAGAGTGAATTACATATTTCCCTAGTCTATGAAAAACAACCTATTGCCCAAACTTTAATGTTTAATATTTTTTTTCCTTCCAATAAAACTTTTAATTGGTCATCACTGTGCAGATTGGGATATCATTGAATCTACCAAAGAAAAGTGCCTTTGTTTATACAGACACAATTGTAGATATGTGTACAAAATTTTGTACAGTGTAATAAAGTCAAATATCATAAACATGCATTTTCAGTTTCCTAAGTACATTTAGATGTTTAAATTTCTCAGATTTCCTAACTTGAGCCTCCCTTAATCTAGTGAGTCTCAGACTAGACAGGTGCTGAAGTAGCAGTAGCAGTAGCAGACTTTCTGAAGCTTAAGATATGACACAATATGCATTACTGCATATTTATGAGGAACACATCAATAATCCAAGACATTGTGGCCAAATGAACTCCTGTTTGTGGCAGTAGAGAATCCACAGCTGGCAAAATGGCAGTCATGCAAACTAATGACATGGACTATTGAAATTCAACTTGCACTACAACAAGAATTAAATTCTTAAAAAAAAGAAAAAAAGGTTAAGCCATAAGTTGCAATAAATGTGAGAATATGATTATTTTTTTGCAATGCATATCTAACATATAAATAAAATTACGTTAATGAAGGATTTAATTTAGCTGAAGAATTTCATATATTATATAACATAAATTAGTTTGGAAGCCTTTCTATTGAGAAGTAAATTAAATTAGTAACTTTATAAACACAATCATTATGTGGCAGCATCGGGATATATATATTTATATATAGCAAGCCCTCTTATATACTCTGGGTCACATTTCATCAAAACTTAAGATGAGAATTAATGAGCTAAATTTCTATTTAAGAAATATATAATTAAAAACAAGTTCTCTCATTACAGAATATCCTATAAGAAAATAGATCTGAATTATATTTCATTTTCCACAAAATCAAGAAGGCTTTGACAGCTATCCATATTTTAGCAATTCCTGTTACCACATATTTAAATCAATAATGCAAGCATATCTGCCACAAAATCAGAACAGGTCTTGCTCCCTCTCTTAACCTCCATCCTCAGTGGCAGGTGATGAAGTGGTGAAGGGCTAGTGATGAAGAAATAAAGGGAATATAATCTCATCTCTTCATTCCCTTATTGTGCATTCAACACCATTATATTTGGAGTGCAACCCTGTAATGCTCCCATGTCAACTGCCTCTTTTACCCATTATATGCTGCTTTGTCAGGAATTCAGGTTGATTTCATTGAGGTTAGTAGAGACAAAAAGGTAAGTTCACTGCTTATAGTTATAATTGTCTTTATAGTGAGTTTCAGTAATGCTAAGAAGTCTTATCCAAGGGAACAGTATTATTATGATTAAATAAATAAATAAATAAATAAAAAATATCAGGGGGATTGTATTATATGAAAGTCAGGTTTTGGTGCCCTCTTTACTGTTACTCATACCCCTCAATGTAATTTCTGCTACATGATGGCTCTTTTTCCATCTTGACATAAATGGAATTATAGATTACTGACCCTGAAACATCATCCAACAAGATAGGTTTTTTTTTTTGCTTCTGAGCACCTCTTAAAAATATATTTTGTATAATAATTTTTCAATGTTTTCTATTTCCAGTCACGAGAGAGTAAAATAGCTTTCAATAAATTGCCTTTCTTCAATAACACACCTACTTCCATAATTCCAATTTTTTTGTAAGACTCATATTAAGAGATACAGTTATACAGTAGAAGCTCAATAACAATCAAACTTCAGTCCCATAACCCTAAGAGCAGGTGAAGCCATAAGAGAGCTATATTTTCTGGAATGTACTATGAGTCAATAAAAAGGCCTGCCAATTCCTTTCAGAGAAGAGTGAAAAATTCTTACTTAGCTCACGACCTCCCTGATAATTTTGATTTAGTTTTTCTCACAATTCTAAGATGGAATAAAGATGCAGTAAAAACAAAATAATAATAATAAAAAATATGGCAGTCCTTATGATCCGCAGCAAATGCCCATAAAATGGAAACTCTAGAAAATAATTCTAGTGCTTTTTAGGAAAATATTTATGTGGGTGAATAAATAAATAAATCAATACATACATACTTTTCACAAAAAATTGCCAATGAACCAAATGTGAATCCCAGAAAACATGGCTGATGCTGCTATTATGTTTGAGGCAGAAACCCATGACATTTTCTAAGATCTTATTAATTTTTCAGACAAACTTTGTTTTCTGGACAACAAAGATGTAGTAAAGGATGCTGAGGACCCAGAGAGCAAATTCAGAGTGGAATCCTCTTCGTACGAACCAGAAATTAAGATAATGCAGCTGTGCAAAGGAAGCTAATAATGCCTATGGTTCCTTTGACTGACAGAGAGAAGAAAAGAGAGTAAATGGATTAACTAATGAATGAGGGAAAGAAAGAAATGGATAGTTTAGTGTGTGAAAAACAAAAGTGGGTGAAAGATAGAGAGAAATATATATATAGAGAGAGATAGAGAGAAAGATAAAGAAAGAGAGAGAGATAGAGAGAAATATAGAGAAAGAGAGATAGAGAGAAAGATAGAGAAAGAGAGAGATATAGAGAAAGATAGAGAAATAGAGAGATAGAGAGAAATATAGAGAAAGAGAGAGAGATAGAGAGAAAGATAAAGAGAAAGAGAAAAAGATAGAGAAAGAGAGAGAGTAAAAGAGAGTGATAGAGAAAAAGAGAG